AGAGAGAGAGAGACCAGGGTGGAATTGTAGCTCAAGGGTTAGTTTGGAGTACAAAGCTCAGAAAGAGTGACTAGACTCAGGTTTTTCTTCATTTTTTATTTTTTGATACACTGTGTGAAGTTATTTCTTTTTCTTTCATTTTTTCCCCTTTGGTTTCCCTTGTTGTCACTGTGTTTGATTTTGGTATCCTGCCCATGGTATATGCATTTATCTGATTTGGGAAAGGGAAGGGCAACAACAAAATGGTGAGATAAAGGACAAGGGTGCAACAGCAACACTCACAGACACATGTTGGAAATGAACTTTACAACTTGGTGGGGGGAGGGAGTTGGGGGCAGGGAAAATGGGAGAAAAACGAGGGAGGGGATAACAATGTTTGAGAAGAAATGTATTCATTACCTTACATAGGCAGCTATAACCCTCTGTACACCACCTTGACAATAAATTTTAAAAGAAGACAAGCTCTATGACCAGCATTTCTCAAAAGAAAATATACTGTAACCCTTCTGTGCATCACTTTTACAATAATTTTTTTTATTTTAATTTTTTTTTTATTGTGAAAACACTGTACAGAGGGGTTACAATTACATGGGCAAGATAATGAGTACATTCTTATCAAGCATTGTAGCCTCCTCCTTTGTTTCCCCTTCCCATCCCTTCCCATCCTCCCCCCCCCCCCCCCCCCCCCGCCTCCCCCACCCAATCCTCCCCGCTACTCCCCCCTACAGGTGGACCCATTGCAACAATGAGATGTACAAGTCATTCTGTTGAAAAATGAACTTTACAATAATTTTTTTAAAAAAAGAAAACACTATAATTCTATCCAGGAGTCCTTGCCTCATGTCTATAATTCTGTCTCCTCGAGAGGCTGAAAATTAAGAATTACTGGTCAAAGCCAGCAACACCCCCTCCCCCAATTAGTTCTTCTTTGGGATTCTATCTCAAAATAACTAGTAGAAAGCCAGCCTGGAGGTATGGCTCAAGCAACAGGCTGACAACTGAGTGAGCAAGTAAGTCAAGCAATGAGAGACCCCAATACTGGCCCAAAACATAAAACAAAACAAAAACATATTGTACAGTCACACTATCCTTTTCATTATAGGCCTTTGAATGTTGCATGGGACCTGGAGAACGAACATAGCTTCTACTAATTACCCTATGATCTGTGGCATAAAAGATATACCATATTCTAGACGTTACTAATTAACTTTATAATCCTGGGGAAGTTATTTGATCTCTATATGTCTCCATTCTTCAACTTTAAATTTAGGATTATGGTTGTATCTACTCCATGAGATTACTGTGAAGATTAAAATAATGTATTTAGCAATACAATATAAATGCTTCCTATTGTGATGAATATAATTGGAGAATATCTCATTATAATAGTAATTTAGCTAGAAAGCACATTCTTAATATCTAGTGGAAGAAAATTTAGTTTTCATTCCCAACTCAATCATAAAAGTTAAAATAGTTTCTAATCTGTAAACTGTTATTAAAGTTTTATTATCTTGATATCCACATCATACTACTTATTAATTTAAATATTATATTAGTAAGCCCCATTGGGTTTATTTTTAGTTCATTCTACTTACCACACTCTCCAATTTTATGCCCTTCTAACCACCATTCCAGCTGGAATCTTCAACATTACCTTTTTGAGAGACAAGTTTCATAGAAATTTCCCTAATGATGATACCTTCTAGCCAGACTTTTATTTTCTATCTAAAAATAACCTCTTTTGTCCCAGATAATAAAGATATCTGCATGTAAAATTCTAAGCTTCCCACAAAGTGATTAAAAATGGAAAAGTCTATGACCTGGGATCAGTAATATAGCAGGGGAGAGGCCTGATTTAGGATTAGGCCAAATTGGCCTCATGCAGTGGATTTTTGGAAATCTACTGAGGATTTTCCTCACTTCTCATATCAGTTACATCATTAAAAGTTCTTATTTAAAAATATATATATAGACTTCAGTTTTGAGAAATATTTTTCTCTAAATTTCCAACTGAATTTTAAAACATACTAGGAAATTATGCAGAAAACAAACCCTTTCAAAAAGACTGTAGAAATTGGAGAGGAAAAAAAAAACAGAGAAGCTAAAGCTTTCAGGACCTTGGAAATGACATGAGTTCCATGGATTTCTTTGTGCCTCCTCTATTTCAAACTTGGAGCTAAAAATGGCAGTCCAGCAATACCAGAGAGCACAGATTTTAAGGTCCTACCAAAGGCTTCTCTAGCCATATTGAAAATAAAGGAACAATTTGACCTGATTAAAAAAAAATTTAGCAAAATCATAGAATTTGGCATGTGCTTACCCACACCAGTAAATACCCACTGTGATGATGCTATAGTGAGATACCCAGCACTCTGGCAGGGGGGTTCAGGGAAGGCCAAGAAGGGAACAGGGCCTTTCATCTCTGACAGCTCCCACCCCCATAATATAAGTGAGATATCTGGGGAATTAAAACACACCCATTCATATAAAAGTGACTACAAATCCATCATTCCATTGTCCCCAAAGATCAGGTAAGATAGATGGACTTTACCCTCACCTTCTAATAACAATGTGTCATACTCTCTTTTCTATGAAGAAGCAAAAGGAAAGAAGGAAAAGGGGAAAAGGCAGGAAAGCAGGAAGGCAAGAAGAAAGGAAGGCAAGGAAGGAAGGAAGGAAGGAGAGAAGGAAGGAAGGAAGGAAGGGAGGAAGGAAGGAAGGAAGGAAGGAAGGAATGCAGGCAGGCAGGCAGGCAGGCAGGCAGGCAAGTGATAATCTAAAAATTGACTTGGTTGGCTTAGTAGCCAAGTAACATTAAGAGTATTTTGTTTTAACAATATTTAGCAATATTTTGAGTACTTATTTACTATATTCCTGTTTTAGTAGCACAGATATTGCAACTGATTATTCTACTTAATCCATTCGAACTACACCCAAAGCTAAATTAAACTTCCAAGAAAGCAGGATGTTTCAACCTGTTTCCTTATTACACTAGGCTTTCCTCCTGAAGTATTCAACCCCATATACAAGAGACATTTTTCAGACTCATATACTTCAGAACCACAGGCCAGTAGACTTCACTTTGTGGAAACCATTATTTCCAAAATGATATAATAATGCCAAGTTTTAAAATGACTTTTGATCAACTAAAAGGAAAAAAATGAAGACTTTCTAGGTCACCTTTACACAAGCATCTAATTTAAAAGATAGCCTGAAAGATTCCACAAATGACTGTAACTGCAGCAGTGAAAGTATTTGTGTTAATTTGCCACATTACTGTAGATCCTTCTACCTGTGATTCTTAAAAATAGAGCTAGATGAGGTAAGATTGATTGGAATACACTGAAATGTGTGGAAATGTCACTGTAAAATCTGACTGCCCTTGTATAATTCATGTACACCAGTAAAACAATTCATTTTTGTGTGAAAAAAAGTGTTGCCATGTCGTGTTTACTTTACATGTAGAGTAAGTGAAACATTTATTTGCCATTTGTGGACCAAGAACTTTGACTGTTAAAAGAAATAAAATTAATTCATATTTTGCTTTGGCCTATGCTGTGATGCACACCCAATAATCCTTATAAACTTGAACAAGAATATTCACTGTGGTACATGCTAAGTAGATTAGCCATGTCTTGTCATTTATTCCCACTGTAGTGTGTGTGGGCAGTGAGGTGATGAGCACTATTAGCAGGAAAATGAAAACTAAAATCTGTTGGTAAAACAGTAAACATAGAGTAGCATTTAACCAATACAGTAGTTGCGTGTGTTCTGAAATTTAAGGGGTGTACACATACTTGTAATTGTTCTTAAGCAAATGAATATATTCACTACTCGTTTTAACAGTGAGACTACCTTCCTTAAAATAATTTCTTTATGAGATTCCAGATGTGGCTTGGGTTTGCCCTTTCACGTGAGAATAAGAGAACTCTAAGCCTTTGTTATTCAAGGCCTTTATTCTGCAAGTATGAGCAAATTAAAAAAATAAGAACTTGCTTTTGCAAAACAGAACATATGACAAGAACATGGACTAGTGAAAAGTCCTCTATATCTATCCCTCTTAAGCAATAACATATGGCAAGGACATTTACTAGTGAAAAGTCCTCTGTAACTCTCCCTCTTAAGCAATATGTGATAGATGTATAGAGAGATAGATGATGGATAGATAGGAAGATAATGGAGCAATGGATCAATGGATTGAAAAGTGGCTGATAGCTCATTTAACTCTCTTCTGCAATCACTACAGTTTTACATTATTTTCTCTCATTGTCATTTTCAGCATTCTTATGCCAATACCTGTAGACATATCTTCACATTAATTGCCAAAAAGTATGGTGTGCAAAAGAGCCCAAGTATGTCATAAAAATTGGAAAGTAAAGAAACATTGAGAAGCAATGAATATTCCCTAGTTCACTGGTCAATTTAGGAGAAAAGATAGAATATTTTAATTCAGTCAACTATTCTTAGATTTGGGTCACATATATTATGCAAAGATTCTGGAGAGCACTGCTGAGTCACGAGGCTGAGGTGGAAATCAGTGCCCTCCTCATATTCGTGTGGCAACTCCAAAACCTGTGAACCAAGGACAGGAATTTCAGCAGAAAACATACAGTGACATTTTTACTCATGGGTATTAAATCTGCATGTCCCTTCCTCATGTGTTCAATCCTGTAAAACAAATTCTACCTAAAACTACAGCATTCATTGAGTAGGAAAGTGAAATGTATAATTTTTAACTGTATGACTACTTAGTTGTAAAACAGGTAATAAAACAATTTTACAAGACTTCTAGTCCAGTTTTCATTCATGACATTATCCTGATTTTTTTCTCTCTCCATCCTCTCTTCATCCTAGGATGGAGCCGAGACATTAGAATAAAGTCTTGGTGACACATTGTTAAGAATTTTCCTACTCAATACACATAGGAAAATTTTCTTTCTGACCATTCAATTCACTTATGTTAACCACTAAAGTTATATGAATGTTTTTCTTCCAAACAGCTTCAAAACCAGTGGACTCAAAATTATGCACTGGCCCTGTCCCAAATACTACACAGCTGTGCCACATTCCTTGCCCAATCGAATGCGAAGTTTCACCCTGGTCAGCTTGGGGGCCGTGTACTTATGAAAACTGCAATGACCAACAAGGAAAAAAAGGTATGTAATGGTAATATGACATGTTTGAAACATCCAGAGGCTGAGCTAAATCATCAATTATTTTAAAATGCCACCCTGAAAAAAGAAGAAGAAGAGGAAGAGGACGACGAGGAGGAGGAGGACGAGGAAGAAGAAGAAGAAGAAGAAGAAGATTATGCCACTCTGGGTTCCTTGTAATTATTGACTTGTGATACTTTCTAGAATGACTAAAGAATATTGATTTCAAAAGCTGAATAAACCTAGTTGAGGGGCAGTGCCAGGAGACTGAAATGGAAGAACGCAGAAAACACAGATGGTTGTAATTGGGACAAGATCAGCTGTATTTATTAGGCCGCCCTGGAGAGCTAAACCTGCTCTGCCCTAACTGCTTAGATAAGCAAATTAATTCATGCAAATGTTTGTCCCCTTATCTGTAAAAGATATGGAATAGTATCCATCACCTGGATTGGCTTTCAAGAATCAATGAGGTGATAAATAGAATTCAAGGTCCAACCCATAGTTAGTGTCCAGTAATCAGAGCTCCTTATTACTTAAGATAGTAAAAGTATTTTAAGTGATTATTTTTTATGCAAATTACAGGTCTAAGTGGAGCAGATAAACGTAGTGATTTACTTCATGGTGGGCTTGCTCGCCTTTCAAAGGGAAGTTTTCTACTGGTTCTAGTATATTCACATAGCATAAACAGGCTTCCCACGGAAGGCAGCACCTAGGAGCTGGTAAAGGATAGAGCAGAGCTGTGATCATTCCATATAGGAGCCACAGCATGAAACAGTTCAAAATAATAGCCCTTTCATCTGATCTCAACTATTTCTGAATAATTTGAGTTTTCATTGCTCCTTTGAATGTTCTGTAAATAGAAAGGGTTCAAATTAACCAAAATCTCTGCCACCCCTCTTGGTTCCCCTCATTCCTAAATTCTCAGCAGATGAAATGTATGACTTTTTCTTTTGGTATTATCTGTTCTGTAGTAACCTCTAGCCCAGACTCTTTTTCCTTTGTGTTTACTCATTCATCTATTCAATAAATGGCTTGTGAACTCACATTAAGCTACAATTTGGAGTTACTGTATACCTTAATCCAGCATTAAACCTGGCATTTTATTGAGGTTTCTGAAATATTTGACCCCTGATATTAACATTCAGTATTTTGGTTCCTCCAATGACTCAGGCTTCAAACTAAGAAAGCGGCGTATTATCAATGAGCCCACTGGAGGCTCAGGGGGAACAGGAAACTGCCCTCACTTACTGGAAGCCATTCCCTGTGAAGAGCCATCCTGCTATGATTGGAAAGCCGTGAGGCTTGGAGACTGTGAACCGGACAATGGCAGGGAATGCGGGCCAGGCACTCAAGTTCAAGAGGTGGTGTGCATCAACAGTGATGGTAAGACAGATGCATGACAACATCCATAGCAATCCACTTAACCTCAGGGTTGTGCTGCTACTTTATGTTAAATTCTTGTGTCTTCTCTCATAACTGGTTCTGTTTACAGAGAAATAGATCTTTCTCTCTATGTCTCTTGGTTCCTCTGTGTCTCTCTCTCTCTGATGATAGTAATAGATCCAATGAATAGTAACAGAATATTTTAAAATTCAGAAACACAACAGTTGATATAAAGAGTTAAACCATCACCAGGACAAGAATATATTAAATTATCAGATTTTAAAATAGCAAGGAAAGATGATAGTTTTGTAAGTAGTATTGTTATATTTATCACAGAAAATGAAATGTAAAATCACAGCAGATTGCTTGACATGACCTGAAATATTTTTTGCCCCCACATGATGTGTCTTATTTTTATTTATTTCTTTATTGTCAGGGTGATGTACAGAGAGGTTTCAGTTACATAAGTAAGGTAATAAGTGCATTTCTTGTCACAAATGTGTGTCTTAATGGTAGAATTTAATCTCTGGACTCTGAAGTAGGGTGGCTTCTCACAGTCTAGGGTTTCTGAATGAAACTTCTCCTTGTCGCTGTGGGCCTCCCGGCTAAGAAAGCACAGAATCAGTGAAGAGTGTTTTCTGCAAGGAATTTATTTCTTTCCCAGCCAATAGAAATTACTTTGGACATTACAACTAATTCACAACTATCTTGGTATTATCTCTGGCAAATGGTTTTTGCATTCATCCCAAGAACGTTGCTACTGTTTGGAGGAGAAGCTGAGTCCCATTTTGAAATCACCAGACACCCCAAGAAACAGTTTAAAACCTTGGGACCTAGCATCTCTCAGGGTTCTTTGAGTTCTCAACGCTGTATAAGTGCACATCAGAGAAGTAGGAGCAGTAAACCCCAGGGTCCCGTAGTTTGACAGTTTATGCTGTTTACAGCATCTGCAAGAACATCCCCGTGCCCCCTCAGGGCCCCTGGAGCATCTGGTAACAGACATAATTCCTCCCATTCTATTTTCTTCCAGCAAGCGGAATTGTTTTCTTCTGTGACTCAGTCACTGTTCGGTAGTAAAGAAAGATGCTCTCTGGAGTGAAAGACTGACAGACACTGCTATTACTGAGAAATTAGCTTTTCGACATTGAAACATACAGTGTCTTCTTTGTCTGGCCTCAGCCGTAGCCATGTAAAACAGCATGAGGTGGAATCAGAGCCAGTGCTTGCTGGAGGCTGAAATGTGAGGACAGAAATTATTGATCCAGATCTTTTATAATAAACTTTAGCTATTCCTGTCTATTGAAGAGATGATTAGTTATGATACATCCTTTCTTTCGTCTTTCCCTGTTCTACTCTAAAGGTACGGAAAGGAGAAAGAGATTGACAATCTCAGATTGGCATACAAGAAAAGAAAGCAAAAGCAGCAATTTTGGTTTGGCTTCTACTTCCATTTCAAAACTAGATGTGGGCTGGGCATACATAAAGTTCAGTGGTGAAGTGCATGCTTGCCATTTTGAAGATTTATGTTTGATCTTCAATACTTCTAGAAAAGAAGAATTCTGATTTGGATTAGTGATACTCTTCTGTTTTCTAAATTGCTGAAACAAAGGAAAGGTCCTATTTAACTCCCCTGTTGATACTGCTTTTTTTTTTTTTTTACTCAAGTCACATACATTTCCTTGTCCTTCTAAACATATAGGAGGAATTAAAATTCTAGATATTGTGAAAGATATGAAGCAAAATGCTAAAACAAAAAGTTGACTATGCATGGAATTTCTATCTCTCTGTTATCCATAGAAAGCTCAGATCTATCCCATTATGTGCAACAGTTTTCGTGACTATTTGTACAAAAGTTGGGTACATTTTGTAGGAATAGAGGTACCTCCTATTTAAAACTATTAGTAGTCATTTTTATTTTTTATTTTGTAATACAGATGATCATATCTTCTGTTGTCTTGTGAAATTAAAAATGAATTTCATATGTCCTATTGTTTTGGAAAGTCATGTTTGTTATAACCAAAAGGCAAATTAGTAATGCACAGTATGCATAAGCTGATTTATTTTGTCTGCATCACAGATGAAATGAATTAAATAGCAAAGAGGTTTGCAAAAAAAATTCACTTTATTATTATTGTTTTATACTAGGACATCTCATCCATCATTAAACTTCACCTCCAATAAATTCTTCCCCGAATATTAATTAGTTCATATGCAATTTAATACTTTAACTGGCTTTACTACAGTGGTGCACAAAATCAAGGAAGTTATTTTTTGTATAAATTCAAGATCTGACTATGTCTGAGTCATATCTGCTGATAGAATCCTAGCAAAGTCCTGCAGACCTGTAAATACTACTCCAATGTTATCATGTGGTCAACTACTAAGTGTTTAGCAGCTGCACCAAATGTTGTTTTGTAATTAAATTGGGCCCAGGGAATTAAAGTTGATTAGTAGTGCAGACTCTACCCCCAGGCCTGGCTGCAGTTATGGATTTTGTTTTATAATTAAGTTAAACTCCGACTAGAGACATGAAGAATTAGAGCCTGTGAACCTAGCTAATAATAAAAGGACTTCTTTTTGTCTCCCACATTGCTCACAAAGTTCACAACTTTGGTAGTGACTGAAAACATTCTAAAACCTTATGTTCCTTTTTCTGGACTATATCTTTGTTGTCTAGGCTTCCAGGGGTCATTGGGATTTGTTGAGGCTGTTTACTTTTCCAATGATTTTCTAAGGAGCAGAGTGGATGAAGAAGACCAGCAGCTGGGGCTGTGTGTGGGGGGAGGGTACAGTTATATAGAGTCTCTACAGGGGGACCCGACAGAACTACAGACAAAAGGGAGATCAAATGACAATTAGACTCTTCAGAAAGATACATTCTGGACAACAGAAATGCAAAAATCACATGAATGCAATTCCAGATTTTTAGCACAAATAATAGAACTACGCTAAGCATCTTTATGGGGAAGAATCCTAAAGATATTACACCTTTGAAAACACCACAATTCTGCCCTATTTTAATTGTTGCTACATGTATGTGTTTTATTTAAAGGTATAACTTTGGCAAGCCAATAGTATTTTGATTCCCCAATTGGTTGGTTAGTGTCAGAATAAAAGCCATTAAGCTGGAGATGGTGGCGGGTGGGGGGTGGGGAATGCATTGTGTTATTCATTCCTTCAGACTATAACCAAATATTGTTCCCACATTTTCCCTGGTTCTGTTGAATAGTAAATCATGTCACCCATCTGCACTATCAGTTTTTAACACTGATCCAGGTGAATCTCAAAAACAATCTTCTAGTTTGCATTCTATTGTTTTATAACCTGGTGGGTCTCAAAATTTTAAATGTACTCTGTGTCTCTTTATAATTTTTTCCACACTAATCAAAGTTAATACTCTCATAACTGACCAAGATTTATTTTTCCCTGTTACTTTACTGTTGTTTTAGAGGTGGCGTAAAGAGGGGTTACCTTTACATACATCAGTCAATAAATATATTTGATCAAGATTTTTATGAAATCAAATATTCTGGAGGTATGGTATTGTGGTAGAGTGCCTTCCTGGAAAGTGGAAGACCCTGATTTCAAACCCAATACTGCCAAAAAGAATAAGAAGCTGAACAGCAAAGTGGGCGTTTGTCAGATTGTGTTTTTCTGTGAACTGAGAGAAACAACTTAAGGGAAAAAATATACTGTTTTACTCATAGTTCCAGAGATTTTGGCCCATCATGGTACATGCATAATGTATGGCACATGCAGAATGTATGGCACATGCAGAATGTATGGCACATGCAGAATGTATGGCACATGCAGAATGTATGGCACATGCAGAATGAATGTATGGCACATGCAGAATGAATGGCACATGCAGAATGTATGGCACATGCAGAATGAATGTATGGCACAGCAGGGCAACTCACATCACGGCAGGCAGGAAACAGAAAATGAGACTCGTACTAGCAGGTTCTCCTGTTCCTCCATTTTATCTCATCTAGGTCCTCAGCTTGTGGAACTTCTTCTCCCCTTAGTTAATCCTCTCTTGAAACATCCTCACAGGTGCATCTAGAGGTGTACTTTACTAATTTGGTCATCTATCAATCCAAGCACAACAAGGTTAGTCATTACAGAAGATGTGTGTCTTCTGTGATGAACCATCCTCAGATTCAGTGATTCATTAGAACTCAAATGATTCAGCGTACAGTTGTACTTTCAACTGCTCTATTACAATTGGCAAAAGTCAAATGCATATTGGGCAAAGCCCAGAGAAAATGCACCCACCTAGGATAACAGTGTGTGGTGACAATGTGTTTCCTTGCCCACCAGTGAAACTCACTGAGCCAGGAATCCAGCATAAAATCACCTACCACATACCACATTAGAGTCTCTATCAGAAAGTAGATTCTCAATGTAAACTATACTTTAAGCACAGAGGTCACTCTTTTCATATGGAGAATTGTGAAGTTCTTTAGAAATTCATAGACCTAAATTCAGGCCAAGGGTCAACCTTATGAATAAGAGAAGCTAAGGATAACAGTCTCTGAACTGCTGTATGACCCCTTTTCTACCCAGAAAAAAAAAAAGACTCAGTTTGTCAAAAGTGAAAATTGAACCTTAAAGATTGATGTTTTAGAAATGAAGAAGCTGATTCTTTGTAAACATTCTCATCCTTATCAATGGCCCACAACTGCTATCTGAAAGGAGGAGGGTAAGTTCCAGATACTTCCAGCTCTTCATATTAAGCAGACAGCCCTAGGGCTTAAGAGCAATCAGCCAAAGGTGAAGAGTCAGGCTTTTGGAACTGCATCGGAAATTGGTACAGAAATATTCCAGAAACACTGTCCATTACAGGAGACACTCCAATAGTAGTGGGAGTAATGTGCATTGATAAATATGTAGTCCTCTCTACATTACCTTTATCTTAACAAGATACAGCAGCTGGCTCTGAAAATAAAGTAGGAGCACCTTTTAATTTACCTCTGGCAATATGAGAAGAGATACCA